ATTTTGGACAATTTCCAGCAATTTTTGACTTTTTTAAAATTTTCGAATAATTTTCAAAATTCCACCAATCTGATGAGTTGCGGAAGCGGTCATTATCGGACTGTTTATGATGTAGAGTGTCTGACGAATACTGTCTGTGCATGTCTGTAGCTGTGCACGGACCGGTCTCTGTAAGACACATCTCTGACGTGCCGTCTCTGAGAAGCCCAGGTTTGACCTGCTGAGACATGAGTGCTGCAGAGGCTGGTTGGTGCAGACGAGGAAGGCAGCAAATGGGTGAGATGGAGGCCGAGTCCGGCAGAGACAGGATGTGGCATTCAACGAGACTGGCATGCATCTCTTGAGATCTTTGAAAATAATTTGAAGATTTTCACATTTTTCGAAAAATAAAAAAATGCTGGAAATTGTCTGAAAAACGCACAAAACCAAAATTTTTGAAATTTTTGAAAAAATTTTGAAGGTGAAATTTTTCAAATTATTTTGGTTATGTGCGCTTTTTGGACAATTTCCAGCATTTTTTAAAATTTTCAAAATTTTCAAAATTCCACCATCTGAAGCGGTGCGGAAGCGGTCCCTCTCGGACTGTTTCTGATGTAGTCTGTCTCTGACGAATACGTTCTGTGCAAGTCTCGGGCTCTGCACTGACTGGTCTCTGTAGGTTACGGCTCTTACGTGCCGTCTCTGAGAAGCCCAGGTGCGGAAGACAACACGTGAGGCAGACGCGGACCTGCAGAGACAAGAGTGCTGCAGAGGCCGGTTGGTGCAGACAACGAAGAAGGCAGCAAGTGGGTGAGATGGAGTTCGAGTCCGGCAGTGACAGGGTGTGGCATTCAACGATACTGGCATGCATGTCTTGATGAGATCCTGGAAAAAAATATTGAACATTTTCAAAATATTCGAAAAATAAAAAATGCTTGAAAATGCTTGAAAGGTGAAATTTTTCACATGTTTTTGGTTTTGTGCGCTTTTTGGACAATTTCCGGCATTTTTTGATTTTTTAAAAAATTTGAAATTTTCCAAAATTCCACCACCTGATGCCTCGCAGAACTTGTCTCTCTGGGACTGTTTCTGATGTGCTGTGTCTCTGACGAATGCGGTCTGTGCCTGACTCGGGCTCTGCAAGCACCGGTCTCTGTATGACATGGCTCTGACGTGCCGTCTCTGAGAAACCCAGGTGCTGCAGGCAACACGTGAGGCAGACGCGGACCTGCAGAGACCGATTCCTGCAGAGGCCAGTTGGTGTAGACACCGACGCATGCAGCAACCGGGTGAGATAGAGGCCGAGTTCGGCAGAGACAGTATGAGGCATTCACCCAATTTCGCAGGCATCGCTTGAGGCGAGTTTAGAAAAGATATTCAAATTATATAAAATTTTAAAAAAATCAAAAAATGTTGGAAATTGTCTGAAAATGTTTTGATTTTGAAATTTTTCGAACGAAGCGTGAGTAATCGTGACTGAGCATTACGGAGCCATGCAAGCAAGAGTGACGAATTGTCAGCAATCGTTTCCTATTTAATAGTGTGACTCAGTTTGACCAAAAGTGATGAGAGAGGCAAAAGTTTATGAGGTGTGACCATGGGTGACTGATCATGACCAAGAGTGACTTAGCGTAACCAACTATGTCAGCGACAGGAAGCATGACCAAAAGCGACAGAACGTGACAATTATTTACAAAGAGTAATCATGCGTGACGAAGCGTGTCTAGGCGTGACTACGTTTGATAGCGTGCCGAATCGAGATCACTCGACCAAGATTGAGCAAATATGACGACACGAGTTGAAGCGTGAAGTGGTATTACGAAGAGTGACAAAAACTGAAGAAGCGTGACCGAGAATGAGCAAAAGTGAAGTAGCCAGACGAAGCGTGACAAAGCAAGACTTAGCGTGACCAATCGTGACGGAGAGTGGGTTCTGACCAAACGTGGCCTAGTCAATAGAAGCTTGGCGAAGCGTGACCAAACGTGACAAAGCGGACTCGATCATAGACCATTATTATGGCTATACAGGACCCTCGATATTAGACCACTGTAGTTGCTCTCGTCGTCCATGAATTGTACAGTATCCTGGATAATAGATCATTTATATGGTTGAACGGGGTCCTTTGTCCTCGTCCATTGTAATGGCCCTCACCCCAGGCCACTATAATGCTATAAGAGAGCCTCTATAATACCAGTGCAATTGCTGTGTAGATACCTTGACCATTCACCTGTATAATAGCTGTAAAGTAGTCTTGATCGTAGACCATTATGTCTACTTTTGATTGGACAAGGGGACCTATGTGGTTAATGGTATAGGGATGTACATAGGCGTATATATATATAATATGTGTGTGTTTATATACATGGGCGTCTATATAGTCAATGTTTTACTTATGACAATATTTTACGAATTTAAAACTGTGACTCAAAAAACTTTTCTTATAGGTATGAATTAACACGCCTCTTTTGACAGTATTAAAGACATGCATATAGACATATCAGGGGCATGTATAGGGGATCGTATTAGGCACCTTTATGCTCTTAAACTACCAATGAGGATCTTAAAATATTCACAGGCCATCGAATGGACAGAATCAGACATGTTAGAAGGTTACCGAGGTAAAATTACAAATACGTTTAGGGGAAATAAAACGTATAGAAAGTTAAAAGCTATAATATTTATTTTAAATGTATTTTTCAGACTTCTTAGTGATAAAAGTGTATTTGCTTCTGCAGGAAATGACAGATAAGCTATACGTAATTCTTAAATTGTTACCTGATGACGAAAGCAGAATCCAGGTCTTCAAGCGTTGTTATTTTGTAAACTAGGCGATGGAAAACTCCAAAAGCGTAATTAAACACAAAATTAAATTAATCCGCCAAGTTTTAATGTAGATCTTTACACATAATTTCACCAAAATCCGATTAACAGTTTAGGAGGCATAATGTGAGTACAAACATGGACGTTCTCCCATTACGTGCTAATTCCAATGCACTTGAGTCAATAAAACCCATTCTTTGTTTATTGTAAGAAACTTTCGAAAGAGCTATGTGCAAATGTTGATGGTCTCAAGCTTATCTGTTGTTAATTTACAACTCTGCCGTCTACACTAGTAACGTCATCCTATGCAAATACAAAGACAAGACGAAATGCAGAACACACCAGTTTCGCTCTAGGTTAACGTACATCAGCTCGGTGTTCAGAACAATGCGCAACACCGTCGTTCTTTGTTTCATGCTGTCCGTCATCGGACAGTGCTCATGCGTGGAATCAACAACAAACAATCATCCGATTATAGGTATTGTTTAAATGTATTTTGCTGAAAAGCAATGTGGTGTTATTTTTATTATTATTTAACAGCACTGCAGCTTCAAGAATAAATATGGTACAATTCATCTGATCCTAGTTTTGCGATGAATTTTGAGTTGTTTTTATGATTCAGAAACGTAAGAGTATTAGTTCTTTGTTTCTTATTTTCTACTGGTTACTGTCTTCTCCTAGACACCAAAGTTGTCATTCGAATTTCACTGGTGTCGTTTGTTTTGCATAAAGTTCAAATTAGATGTTGTTTTTTTGTCGAAAACGGATTGCCAAACAGAAAGTGGATGCAGAACACAAGATTTATAGCCGCAACATAACAATTTCTGAAGTGAGATGTGTGGTGCCTGTAATGTGATTAGCCCTTCAGCAACAGATACGATATGTATGCACAATAATTAAAAATCAAGACAAATTGCAATTTCGTAATTTAATATTTGGTAATTTAATCCTGCAAATATATTTATAGCACTACCAGTGATATAAATCCATTTAAACCACTTTGGACCTTCCTAAACTATCAAGGATTTGGAACTTTCACTCTGACAGACCTCATTTTCAGGAACTTAGCCGTTAATATCTTATTGAATTATCAGCAAAATCTCACTAATTCGGAGTAAGAGTTATAATTCAGTATGATATAACACTTTAAAGTCGTATTTAATAATGAATATTTATTCAGAATCCAGCAACATGATTAATTTATGAAAAAATAAAAATGTTTGAAGCCGTAGCTCGTCTAAAGAGTATTTACGCATTAAATCAGTTCGTCAAAGAAAAACACAACGTGTCTCCATTTAAATAATCAATTTGTTAATTGACTTTTCGGGAAATACTAGCTGTTTACCCTGAAAATCATACAAAACTCATAAATACACTCTGTGGGGGAAAAATGCAGAATTTGGTACTGTTAAGCAGGTGGAACAGTTTAACTATGTGCTTTAACGGATTAAATCCACATTTTAGGATAATTCTGCATTTTGTGTAAGTAAAATATGTAAAATAAGGAAGCAGTTCGAATTAGTGAGGTCTTATTGTGCCTATTGTACCAACTACCCTAAAGAGGACACAGAAGATATTAGGCTTTTATGGCTGTTCACTTTTAATGTGAATACTATTTCTGTGTAATTACATATTTTATATTTACGCTCTACTGCAGAAGTTTCGGTTATTCCGTAGCTAAAACTTGTGCCTACCTAAAACGAGAAGACTATCTAATTGTAAACTATAATTTCGAACTTCGTCAAATTTAAGAAACGTTTCGCGATGTATTTAATCAACATTCGCAATCCTGTGTAATTTAATGGGCGAAATGACGTGTGTCGCCAGGTGTACTTGCGCAGGAGAAAGTATTGGAGAGTGATCCGCAGTTAAACACTCATGTTAGCTACATTGCAGCTTCCTACGTGAAATTCCTGGAAGGCGCTGGGGCTAGGATTGTTCCAATCATGTAAGTATTACTAAGTATTTATGATTTGATGTTTTTAAAGCGGTGAGCTTGAAGATTTCTGTCCTCTGGGTTGTTGCGCCGTGTAATATGGTAGATGTTTACCAACGTTTCAGAGGTCATACTGCCTCCGTCATCAGGGCGATGAATTCATCGACATACACAGACTACACAGCGCAACAACCCTGAAGACAGAAATCTTCATTGCTACGTATTGTCAGGTCACACGTGGAGTAATTAAGACATCGAATAAAGAACTTCTTGAAGGCAAATTAGGTCTAACGATATTACTGACAGACAAATATTGAGTCGATCGTATTTCTCTTGGCTGTGAAGCTTTCCAACGCTTTGAAAGATCGTAAAAGCTCTATCTTCAGTCAACCCTGAAGGGAAAGACCGCAAAGCTCTATCTTCAGTCAACCCTGAAGACTTGTGTAGTACTTTCCTCAGACACATTGGTAACCAACTACAAGCCCACACGGTGTTAAAACAAAGAGATTCACAATCGATATGTGCATCGTCTTAAGAACCTCAAATTCAAGATAAGTATCAAAATCTCTGCGTGGCAAACAGAGTAATTTAATGTCTAACGAGCTACTTAAGTGAGTAATTGACTTACTAACAGGTTAACTGATTAACTGAATAACCAATTAAGTACATGGTATCGTACAGGTTATACTCACCCAGTAACCAGAAAATTTGTTCATCACCATCATCAACAAAAAAAAATCGCTATCAGCACCTACCTCAACGCAGTTCCATCCGGTTTAAGTCTTCCCGTTTGTCATGAGGTCTTCCAACCACGAATACGAAACCCTACAAATTAAATCAACAGATATTTACAATAAAGGTAATACATTTTTGTTGTACATCGCTTTTTTGTTTTCAGGATCAACAAAACGGACAAATATTACGAAAATATAACCAATCATGTGAACGGGTAAGTTTAAATCAGCGATCAACAACGAGGTTCTTGAGTTTACGTCCTACGAACCTGCGATACTATTCTTCTTGACTGCGGGCCAGCAGGGTCTACTTTGTAGACCCACCAGGCCAGGGTACCACATGCGTTCACTGTTTTCCAAGACGAAACACGTACGGACAAACTCGGCGAACTCTATTACGCTTTCATTTTATACACATAGTGCAAACAATACATATAACCCAATTCTACAGTGGAAAACACGTACTCTAGAATTGCTGTTTATATTGTCATACAGAGTTTTACTTCCTGGCGGAGATGCACAATTTGACGCACCCGGTGGATATTCAGAAGCTGGTCGAAAGCTGTTTGATCACGCAATGAAGATGAACCAAGCTGGCGACTACTTCCCTGTGCTGGGAATCTGCCTCGGGTTTGAGCTGCTTACTTTCTTGGCCGCCAACAACGTGGAACATCGCGCCAGATGTTTCAGCTACAACGAAGCTCTGCCCTTACAGTTTACAGGAAGTAAGTTACCATCTGCACAGAGCATAGTCGTTCTTGGGAAGCTAACAGTCGCTGAGCTGGTCAAGAAATTCGTCTTCTGTCATAGAACACGATATTTTATTAACGTGTTCACAAAAACCCACCATTTTATTTATCCTAAATCAGATTAATGAAGTACAAATCCTCATATCCATCGTTATATATTGGGTTATGATTCTTTTTCAATAAGTTACATAATTACTGTTTTTATTCATAATTTCTGTTCGTCTCTTTATGCAGATGGAAACATTTTAAAGAATTTAGAAGTAATTAGTTTTTAGCAACTTAAACATACACTTGATAAAAAAATTAGCTTTGTTTCACTGGCCTTGGAATAAGTTCCTTCTTTACTTCTCACTTAAAGACAAAGACAGTGCCAATTTACAAAAAAAAGCAATGCATTTTAGAGTTTTTCGTTGTTTTTTTTAATATTTGGTGTAATTTAAACAACAAATGAAAAATAATGAATGGTAAGTAATAAGTATGTGCCAAGATATGTTGAAAGACTTTCTTTACTGTTTCAGGTTTCTTCACAAGTAAATTGTTCGGAAATGCACCTAGCAGTACAATAGGAATATTGGGAAAGGAAAACGTGACCGCCAATTTCCATCGATATTGTCTAACAGAGAAGGTAAAGTGAGACTTGAGGTTCTCACGGTGGCGAGTGTGAAGATGGCTGTCTTCTGGGTTGTTGCGCCGTGTAAAATTTACAGACGTTTCACAGGTACCTGCTGCCTCCATCATCAGGCACTCATCGCCCTGATGATTAGGTTTCACCAGTGCCCAACCCTATTCGGAACCATAGACTTAAATTTGCTTTTGCCTTATTTTTCCTTATTCTACAATTGTTGATTTAATTAATATACAAACTCTTCATTCATCTGTCATTTATTTTGTCTGTTCGGATGAAATTTTCTACCTTTGTTCTGCTTTATAACGCAGGCGCAAAAGTGAACTCTTATCTCGGTCAAACAAACAGAAAATAATATTTCTGGAAAAGACAAACTGTATGACAAATCTAGGCGTCAGAACAAAGGGGGGGGGGAGATACTGAAAATTTTGATACCAACTGTACTGAAGCGAATTCAGTGTTACGTTCCGTAACCTTAGTACTTCGATCTCTTTTGAGATAATAATGTTTATGAACTTCTCTGATGATATTTAAGCTTTCAGTAAATGGGTAATTTAAAGGTCACAGTGTAACGCAAAATATAAAGTCGCCGAATCCTGGCTTATTAACTGTAATGCCTGTGTATTAGTGTTATGTGACTATTTGCACATGGAAATAGAAGGCATTGTAATAAATTCCACTTATAATTTTAATAGCCTTTTTATGATCAAATTTCAGGGTCTATGCAAAGAGTTCTCATCAGACTGCCGCATGTGGCCCTCACATATGTTTTGTGTGGACCCATTCATCTTTTTGTAACTTTGAGTCATTCCGTACAATGAGAAACGCCTATGTCAGAAAAAACGTCGTCAGTGTCTAACAGTTGGCCTACCTGTCTCTGTGAGCAACTGTAGTGCAGTTTTATAATGGACATCAAATCACGATCTACTCACTGATGAACGAAAATTACGTAAACAGAAATTAAATCCGATACTGAAATATTACTCAAACAAAATCAGTGTCAATACCTCACTAATAACTGACTTTGTTATTAAAATTATAGAATAACGTTTGTAACAATGGGCATAAACTCAGTAACATTATAATAAATTTGCGAAGGCGTTTCAATTAACGTCCTTAAGTGGTCCGTCTGAGAAAAAGCAATGTGGCTAAATGTCCTTAAGCGGTCCGTCTGAGAAAAAGCAATGTGGCTCCAGCCTGGAGAAAGGCTTTAACCCGACTCCACGTACAAATATATGTACTGAATACGCCGAATAATGAAGCAGCATCATCTAATATGGCAAATTATGACTGATTACCTGGTTATTTAACGACACTGTTGTAAATGTCTTCTGGTATTACAGTCCGATTCGGATGACGGATTTCTCTACTGTAACAAACAAACCAATTAAATGACAAATAAGCATTTAATTCTCTAAGTAACTAACTGTTATTAATGAAAGAAAGTAAAGAAAAATTTGACGATAGCTGTCTTTAGGGTTTTTCGCCGTGTAGAAGTTTACAAGCGTTACAGAGGTGTTTTCTACTTCCTTCATCAGGGTGGTCACCGCCATAGCCATCTTCATATACGCCGCAGTGAGAACCAAAAAAATTATTGTTTCATGAAACAGAATGTTCTTCAGTGTGATCACTAAACCCACCACTTTACCCTACTGGATTTACAGATACACAACCCATTTTTCCATGACAATTTTTAATATTAATGGCCAAGTGACTAAAACTGTATTCTCACTTTAATTTTATCAACCATAGTTTTGTATGATATCACAGCGACAAACATTTTTAAAATCTTGGGCTATCTAGTGTGTCATTTGGTTAAAAATCGCCAACGTCCCTGATTCGTTGGAGATTTATACTGATATGGCTGATACCCGGAAAATATTTTATTAACCACAATTTTATACACACTTCTGGTTTCCATCAGGCACACGGGTAAATTGACAAATGAGTGAGGTGCTGGCGAAGACAAAAATATGTTAAGTGGGTTTATGAAGGGTCTTCTTCCCACGTAACCAGGCTAATGAGAAGCTCGTATTTCAGAACATCACTGAACTGCATCTCGATGAAGAATGGCAATTTATGACAACGAACAAGGATTCGGACGGCTTGAAGTTCATATCCTCGTTGGAGCACAAAAATTACCCACTGTACGGACTGCAGTTTCACCCTGAGAAGAATATTTACGAGTGGAAGAAGGGTAAAGTTCACCCTCACTCGGCAAACGCCATACGAGTCTCGCAGTATTTCGCAAATTTCTTCGTAAACGAGGGTAAGACATATGAAGCTAAAAAAATTCAGACATCACAGTGGAACATGTCAGTTGACGCGCCATAAGGTGCTGTTCCCAGACAATCCTTTAATTGATTGCTGTTGCTTCCAATCTTATAAATTTATTTTAACTTACTGTATGAATCCGAATCCTTGATACTCTTAAACTAAGTACAGTAACCGTCACAAAATTGCAGGCTTTAGGGTGACAACAAATATTACAAAGTTGCAACACTAACAGCGAAACCCAGGTGATTGAAGACAGCTCAAATCTCGCACTGTATCAAAGCAGGCAACGCTGTCCTGGTCGCGCGGTAATGGACGGGTGTCATTTTGTGGCCTTCAAACATGCAATTTGGTGACGGAGACAACTATCGAGAAATTCGCCGTTATTAAACTTTCATTATATCGTCATCTCATTACATCATTCACAAGAGCAGGTCACTGGGTAAGATGTTTCTTATCGTCCGTCACCCTGACTCCATAAAGTCCATATTAATATTATCTTATCATTCATACCTAATCTTCCAAATGGCCTGGTTCCCTCAAGATTCCAAACCAGAGATTTGTATCAGATGGCACTAATTATCGTTCCCACCTCATGTATTATCACGGCTTCCATGCGTGCAGGAAATCATAAATTACAAAAATGGCTTTCTCCTATAATAGAAGATGTTGACACAGAATTTTAAGATATCCAATTGGTTTAAGGGTGACAGGCACACGGATACAGTAAGCGTATATTTTCTTGCAATAAAGTAAAGTAAGCTAAAACGTTTTATTCTTTTACAGCCAGAAAGAACGCCCACAAGTTCCCGATCGAGCCTGAAGAAAGAATACATCTTATCTACAACTACCCTGCGAAATATACTATAGATCGTACAGTTTTTGAACAATGCTACGAATTCGAAATATAATTGATACGTCTTTTCACGTAGTTCTATAATGTCAAATGTTAAGACGTATTACACATAAAAGTAATCACATGTCATATTATGAAACCAAAGTCTAGACTATGTACTCTTCGTCTCAGATCCGGCACGAACGATAAGCGAAATTTTCACGATAAAATACGTTATATTGAATAAATTTACATCTTATTTGACTTGTGTTTAATTAAAAACTAGCAAGAAGGAATGAATAACTATATCAACATTAATACGAACACTTATAACGGTTACAAGAACTGAAATTGCCCAGTTTTTACATAAGCCTAAAAAAATAATATGTCGGTCGGAGCGACAAATTGCCTTCATCTTCATGGTTGAAGACATGGGTGAACAGAGTCACAACACTACACTGCATCACCACACAGTTGACAATAATCAGAACTCTGTAAAGGAACGTCAAATCTTTCACATAAGCTGTTCCATCTTTGTAAGATTTGAGGTTTTCACAGCGGTGAGTATGAAGATCTCTGTCTTCTGGGTTGGTGCGCAGTGTAGTATGTTTACCGTCATCAGGGCGATAAGTATGAAGATTTCTATCTTCTGGGTTGTTGCGCTGGGTAGTCTGGTCGATGTTAACCAACGTTTCAGAGGGCATACTGCCTCCGTCATCAGAGTATGAAGATTTCTATCTTCTGGGTTGTTGCGCTGTGTAGTCTGGTCGACGTTTATCAACGTTTCAGAGGTCATACTGCCACGATTAATCGCCCTGATGACGGTAAACATACTACACTGCGCACCAACCCAGAAGACAGAAATCTTCATGTTCCATCTTATTTTTCCAACATATTCTACGCCACTCGTTGTACTAACAGAACTGTTCTTTTAACAGTTCTGTTTCTGTGACAGGCATATTGTTGTTTAGAGGAAAGGACGGAACTTAACAAGAATTTGATATCGAAATTCTCAGGAAAACATTTGGGCCTAAAACGAACAAAGTATACCTTGAAATAAACGAATAATTTACGATACTATACAACGAGAAATTTGATGAATTTATACAGGATCATTAAGGTCATAGAGTATCGATAGGACAGTGAAATCTAATACGCTGCGATTGTCTGGGTATGTGTTTATAAGGTACGGAGACACAGCATGCATAGGCCTCAAAATTTTGATGGAGGAATCACTTAGGAATCACCACTTGCAAGAAGTTTGCAATATAGTAGATAAATGGCAAGATGGGTGTTATGGAACTGGTTGGCTTTGTTTGGTTAGGTTAGCAGAGTTAATTATAAGGTCGGTTATTAAAAAATATTAATATATTCGGCTTTATCTCGTGAATTTAGCCCGTAGGCCTTCACTAGGAGGTCAGAAGTAGCAGGGTTTAAACTTGACGCAATACTGAGATTGGCAGGGTCTTCCAATCTCGTGACAAACGATGGCAAGCGAATGCAAAAGACAAGTAAAAGCATATTACCTCCAGACCCTGCACAAGTCTTGATGGTCCTTTGCTTAATTGTGACTGCATGTAGCCATATGCAGCATTACTGAAACCTGAAACAAAAATAAACTTAATTGTAACAACAAAATTACTTTTTTTTAAAAATAACATTTCATATGGCTACCACTTTTTGGTTATATGAGGTACGAACTACCTCGACAAATTCAAATAGTGATGGTTACCTTCTGGACTGTTGCTCCGTGTAGTCTGGTAGAAGTTTGCCGACGTTTCAGAGGTGCTTGTTACCTCCATCATCACTGCAACGAGAAAGTGAGGATGGAAGCAACAAGAATCTCTGAAACGTCGGCAAACTTCTACTAGACTGACTGCACGAAACAATAGTCCAGAAGGAAGCCATCTTCCCACACACCGCTGTCAGGACCTCAAATCACACAAGTACATATAGAGTGTCTCATGAACGCACAAACCATATGCAACCGTAAACTAGAGACTTTATATATTTTTCCAGCTGTTTCTCGCCATGTTTGCGAACAGTAAACCTGTGCTGATTCTGTTTTTGTTCAGAACAGATTCTTTCTTGAATTCTTCAATTATTCCGTACTGCAACGTCAAACCATTCCTTGAACAATCTGCCCCTTATCAAGTAAAACAAGATTTCCTCGTATAAATCATAGAAATTAAATTTCTTATGCATAGATTTCCTGTTTTACACGTGCTATGACGGTCCACTCGACACTCAGTAATCAGCTTCACGCTGTGACCGACTTTGTTCCCGAGGGGAAGGGCCTCCGAAACCCATGCGAGTAGCCCCTGGACACCCCTTCTTCAAAGAATGGAACCACGGCCGTCCAATCCGTATCCAGCCACTTTACTGGCCTCTGGTGTGTAAAGAAACAGGGAAGAGAGAAACAGTGAATGGAGGAAACAAAGAAAGAATGAAATTAATACATAAAATAAGAAAATAGATAAATGAAAGGAAAGGGAGAAGTATCAAAGAAAGAAGAAGGAAGCAAAGATAATAGGAAACAATATATGAAATAAGGGAGGAAATAAAGAAAGAAGACAAAAATAGCAGAAGAAAAAGTGTGAAAAAATGAAAAAAGAGGAAAGAAAGAAAAATGAGTACAGAAAGAGATTGCAAAGGACCAGAAAGCAAAATAAAGAAAAAATTGAAGAAACTAAGAAATATGGAAAGAAGAATATAAATTATGAAACAGGAACGAAATCTATAAGAAAATTGCATGAAAAGCGAGGGGGAAAAAGGGGCTGCAAATAGACCATGACACATCTCAGTATTATCTGCGAAACTTTGCCTAGGGCGGGCACTGAGCTGACAAGAGATAAGCCTCGACATCGCCTCTGTCCAGCGCCGGCCGACACAGCATCTAGTAGCGTCGCAATGGAACCTCAAGAGCTGGTGCTGCTGGTCGTGGCTGTTCTGTGTGGCAGTGCCTCGGGGCTTCCCCTCAACAACCGCCCAATTATAGGTAACGTATCTATCACATGATTGCAGTCAAGTTTATTTGTTTACGTTCATCCAGCTGCAGAGGTCAAGACCAGGAGTGATGGCCGTCTTCTGGCTTGTTCCGCCGTGTTTATTTTTTTTTGTAGTGTTCTGTCTGACGACAGGTCCATATGAACAGGATCCTTCCATCCTTTTCTCGGACTGGGACCTGTTCATATACGTTCTTGGCAGATGATCCAGAAGTGGTTTGCCATTGCCTGCTTCTGTGTGTGAATAGAGTAATTGTTGGGATGCCACGGAGAAACCGGGGAAGAAGCCCCCGGAGGAAAACTCCGTGTTCCCTAGACCCCGGCCTTGCCCAACACAAGTTATAAATTCGAGCACCGCCGGGAATCGAACCCGAGACCCCAGGATGGGCTGGTTTATGTATCAGGGCCGTAATCAGGTATTCATTTTGCCCCACGGTTTGAGCTTCCTTGCTACATGTCCATCCTTCTCAAACGAGAATGATTTTTTCTACTGTAGTACTAATCAGAGCATGCGCAGATGTTCATTTTAATTTCTGTGAAACATTTAGAATAGCATGCAGCGTTACGTTTTATAATGATAATGTTCGGATACATTCAAACAATTTGTTTAGGTTCTAAGTGATCATGCACTGACAATTTGAGACTATGTGTGTGTAGACAATTATTGTATGAGCCTACTACTTTTAAAGTTTGTAATACCGTGAAACCTTTACAGGTTTGATGTTAACCACGTCGAAATATCTACTGATACATATATACGAGGGTCGCTCATTAAGTAATGCCCCACATTTTTTTTCTCAGCCAATAATGAAGATAGAAAAGTGTACTTTTACATGCTTGATATTTGATGTTTCTCGCGTGTGTCATTTATATTACGCGGAATGAGATAAGAATGTCGCTCATTATCGACGGAAAGCTACTAGCTTGTTACATCAAAGCAATATCTTTACTCTAACAGCAGAAAGCTTTTGTCAGGATAGACTCGGTCGAGATTCGAACCGGCGACACCTGGTAATGGAGGCAGCAAACACCTCTGAAACGACTTTCGCCGCCGTGAGAACTTGAAATCTCACCTAGCCGAAATTTTTCATTTTCCTCGGACGCTCCAGGTAAAAGTGTATATTGAATCAGGCTACCTCTCGTGTGAATTGTTACAGACCATATGTATTTTAACATAAAACGAACTTATATTTCTCGGTGCTGTGATTTACAATCACTTTCCATTCTGTTGGCTATTTTTACAGAAGCTGGCATTTACCACCAAAAATGACATTTTTTCTGTTCTTATACAGTATGACAAATCTAGCAACGACAGGCATTTGTTTGACTATGACTATTTGTTTTTCTTTATCTTTACAATTTGAATCTCACCTGAATCGAATCTGCCCTTATTTATTTCATCCACTGTCCAAATTTTACTTCTATACAGGCAACCTGGCACTTCATATGACCTCATAGAATTTAAGAAGAAGTCTTTCCTTGTTGGGATATTCATAATGAATTACGGAAAAGAGAAATACATCTAAAATGTTGGCCAGAAACCGTCAAGGGAAGAGATAATTTGTAAAACATTAGAGTTAAATTGGTGTGTGATATTAAATTGACGTCTGTAGTCAGCTCCACAGGGTAAAGTCAAACTGTGGGATTTTGTCAGTTCACTTATAAATTTTCGTGTTCCAAACGCAAAATCTTTTGACCGACCGAATGTCTTCTTAACTTTCAAGGAATACTTTGCACTATAAAGTTGATTCATCATTACTGTTCTTCTTATAAGCACCAACGTCGTCATCATTAAGTATGATGACATTTGCATTATCATATCTAACTGTTCTGCATCATATATAATTTCATAATTAGGTCGCTGTAATTAGTAGATTCTAATAATGCATAATTCTCACTGCCGACAGGCATCCTATCACAAGAACTAACGGATTATATGAAGGATAAATTCCCAGGTAATTATACAAGCTACATCGCCGCATCGTATGTCAAATATGTGGAAGAAGCCGGCGCTAGAGTCGTACCAATCAAGTAAGTGCATTTTACATGCTACTGTCCGCCCACAAAGAGAAGTCCGCTGGGAGAGGAGAGGGTACGGTATATTCTTTCACAAAACATGCGTCCACCCAGTAATGCACAATGCATGCGCTGCAGGAACCTAGTGGGACAATGTGTTTGGCATAGGAACAGGCGGAGTGCGCATGCGCGGTATGGTCACCCGCTCCAGTCACCCAGCCGACTTCTCATGTGTTTTCGATCATGTATTTAACCGAATATCATCTTTATCATCAAGCGTAAACTGCAAGATATTTTAAAAATTTTGACATGACAAAAGAACAACATGCTTAAACAATAAGCTATTTTAGTATACGTCTATTGCCAGTCCAGATATCTCAATTGAATTTCAGTCACAAATAAGATAAAATGGAGTTATCAGATTTTAGGAATGAAAAAGATAATGTGATAATTAATGTAGAATGTAGGCGAATTCTAAATGGAAGAATGAACTTAAGGATTGGTATTCTACTTGGACAAAGAGCAAAATGTGAGATTCCCCATTTCAGCTGCAACCACATTGCTTAGAAAAGACACGTAAATCCATAACTCATTGACTCGGAAGAGTTCTCATTTCCACAAAAACTGTCGCATTATTTAGTGGATAACTTTACGATAGTCAAGCTAAGTGATTGTGACAGCCTATGATTTGATTACTTAAATATGGAATGGGTTTCTAGAAGTCCACGTACCGCGTACCAGAAAAAGACAAGCCTTCATACTAGAACATAATTATTCATTTTTGTTGTCATTTTTATTTCTTGCAGAATTAACCAGACCGAGTCTTATTATGAAAGTGTGATAGATACTGTGAACGGGTAAGTGGTTTTTTCTGGTATTATTTTTAGAATGTTGTTATAATCAATTATAAGGCATAATTCGTACATTGTACATTTATATAATCGACATGCCACAAAATCCATGTGCTGTGTGCTGACTTGCCAATTCAAGACTGGTAACAATAATAACTCATCCGAAACTATTAAAATCGCCGCAGTTACCAAACATACAAAAATTCATTCTGCATCTGAGAGGCCATTTTGTATACTGATATTTCACAAAACGAAATAAGTGGATGTTGTTTACCGATGGTTAATGAAACATCGTTGAAACGTAATTCATGCTTGTGATACGTTGAATATAATACTCGAATCTTCGTATAAGTGAGGTTGCAATAGCACGCCACTGGTCCCTACAGCCAGATGAATCCACTCCATACCCCCACACCCTACTATTTCTGTTTTGATCCGTATTCTCCTTTCTAAACTTTGATTTTTACAGAATTTGAATATATTTCTTAGTTACCAAATGCATGCTACATTCCCCACCTATATCATCGACCTTGATTTGCTGACCATAATATTATTTTGTGATTAATACATATTGTGAGATTAGTTTTTTTATTTATTTACTCGACTTCCTGTTTCTTCTTGACTATCAGATACAAATATTCTACTTAATTCATAATTTTTATTTATGGAGAGAGGCCACGTTTTACATCCACATAAATCAGTATGTATTTTTATAGTTTTATATATTTTAATCTTAAGTTAATAGAAAAGAGACGGAAGACAATATTTCTGAACTCAATAGTACTCCGAGAACTAAATGAGCTGAAAATTGGATTGCAACTTTTACCAGTCTTAACACTCTTGTATTTATATTAGTTTCTCTTTATTTTCCAACCCTCAGGGTTCTGTTTCCTGGAGGAGCTGCCAGTTTCTCTGCGTCTGGAGGATACGCTGATGCAGCCTGGAAACTGTACCAACGTGCCGTATCAAAAAACAACGCAGGGGATTACTTTCCTGTATGGGGTACATGCCTAGGATTCGAACTTCTGACCTATCTTGCTACTCGACAACATAATATCCTCACAGCATGCGATTCGGAAAATGTGGCCTTGCCACTTAAGTTTAAGCTAGGTAGGTCAGCTTTAATTTTCACCGTAACTCCAACATCTTATTGTGTGCAGATGTAATCAAGATCAACATTATCACTAATACCATATCAAAGATTAAATAAAAAAGTATTACATGAATTTTTATCAGAAGCAATAAATTATGACTCGATTATATAATCGTCTGCTAACGAATCTAGTAAGCTACCCGAAAGCCTTATTTACAATTTATTACGATGTTATAAATAATATATTATTTAAAAGGCATTAAGAATAAGAAGTTTGTTCAATAGGAAACTGGGATTAATGAGTTCTCCCTGTATGGCATTTGGAATATTTTTAAAGAACGTAGAATAATTTAAATATTAATTTTTTTTTCCATTTTTCGCGTCTCTGTCTGCCTTGTTGTATTTCCGAAACCGCAGCATTCGGCCACTGGAATCTAATTAAATATCCCTGCATCAGACATTAACTTCGTGAGTTTCTTATTGACATAAAAATTTGTGTTCAGGGTACAAAAACAGTAGGCTGTATGAGGATGCCCCGAAGAAAATTTTGAACATCCTAGCATCACAGAACGTCACTGTGAACTTCCATCACTTCTGTGTTACTGAGACGGTAAGTGACAGTATAATTAATACCTTATACGCAAGCCACTTACATCTAATTCTCTTTAATTTGATGCTATAAATGAGACACATGAAGTTTGAAAGATGGCTGCCTTCTGGGTTGTTGATACCCGGTACCTTGAAAATCTCACATCACTTGTGCCTTTCTTCTATTTACGAAATATGTTCGTAATATCTTGTAATACGTTAAAATTACAAACATGACAATGGAGCGAGATTTTTGTCTGACATGTTTAATGCACAAAGGGCAATGATGAGCCTTGAGCACAGAAATATAGATAATTCCAAGACGACTCCTGTTTTACTAACGACCTTTTTCAGCTACTTAGATAATACGAGGTGCGATCGGAAAGTTTCCAGACTGCGCCTATAAAAACCCGTTCACTCGCAGGGGAACTACTTCGAGGGTGATGGATGAATTTAATACCTGAGATAAGTGTACGGGTTTTTATACGCGCAGTCTGGAAACCTTCCGACCGCACCTCGTATAGCGTAGAATTATAGGATTAGTGAATAACGAACTGAAAATTATAAGTAAGCGTAACGATGTTTAAGGTCTTATCTCGGCATTTTACTGGAAATCTATGTGAAATAAAGCAGGATAGCCTAGGTTTATTCTAGGACTTCCTAACACAAAGCTGGAAGGCGACGTTCAGTCAAAAGTAGGCAAAACAAGTTGCTATCAGACCGAGTTTATATTCCCTTGTACTTCAATAACGAATTGTTCATTTAAGACAGCTGATTTGCGACCTCAACATTGATGTCAGTGTTTACTTTTGCGTCAAGGATGCTGTTAAGGCGACCGAATTTATTGTCCCAGGTTGTTTGCATGCGTGTGTTAGAGATATTACTGGATGCGGTGATAAGTAAGAAAATATTAGAAGAGAGACTGCTGCCAAAGTTACGTGATTGCGTAATATCTGGTCGAATTGACAGTCACGGAGGAAGTCTTGGCCACGCCTTGCTGAAAACATTTCTCTCGGGTTATATTTCTTGACAGCAGTGTGAGTTATATGCGAACGTTCAATTGAATGTTATTGATATGGAGTATTTATTTTTATCCAAGTGCTCCAATTTTTAGGTTTTCATGACTAA